GTGTGGAGCATGCTTTCAGAAGTCTTAAAAGAGCAACACCCTGATGCAGAAACTACAGAACCCGAACCACCCAAAAAAGAAAATCAACCTTCTGCTGGTGGCATCTGACTCAGATGATGAAAATGAACATGCATCAGTCCGCACTGCTTTGGATTATTATCGGGCAGAATCCGTCATCAGCATGGACCCATGTTCTCTGGAATGGCGGTTGAAGCACGAAGGGATATATGAATCTTTTAGCACATCTGGCACGTAAATACCTTGCAATGCCAGCTGCAAAAGTGCCATGAGAATGACTGTTCTCACTTTCAAGTGACATTGTTAACAAGAAGCTGGCAGCATTATCTCCCATTAATGTAAACAAACTTGTTTGTTTGCGCGATTGGCTGAAGAAGCAGTAGGACTGAGTGGACTTTGTTTTATTTTTGAATTCTCCCTCAAGGAGTTCAGTCATAAATTTAATTAAATCATTATTTTTTTAACAAGCATCATCAGCACAGAAGCATGTCCTCTGGAATGGTGGCCGAAGCATGAAGGGACATACGAACGTTTAGCATATCTGGCATGGCAAGGCTGGCTACAAAAGTCCTATGGGAGTGCCTGTTCTCACTTTCTGGTGACAATGCTGCCCACTTTTTATTTACAATATCTCCCATAAATGTAAACAAACTTGTTTGTCTTAGCGATTGGCTGAACAAGAAGTAGGAGTGAGTGGACTTGTAGGCTCTAAAGTTTTACATTGTTTTATTTTTGAATGCAGTTATTTTTTGTACATAATTCTACATTTGTAAGTTCAACTTTCATGATAAAGAGATTGCACTACAGTACTTGTATGAGGTGAACTGAAAAATACTATTTTTACAGTGCAAATATTTGTAATAAAAATAAATATAAAGTGAACAGTGCTCACTTTATAGTCTGTGTTGTAATTGAAATCAAATATATTTGAAAATGTGGAAAATATCCCAAAAAATTATATAAATGGTATTTTATTATTGTTTAACAGTATGCTTAACCATGGTTAATATTTTTAATCTCTTGACAGCCCGAATCAAAAACTTATATGCAAAATGGTCTGTAAGGAGAACGTGTTTCCTTATAGATACTTTCCATTCAGAAGCTGCCATCCTTCTGATTCTAATTTCAGAAAGGAATTAGGCATGGAGAAGTAGGCAAAGTAACTGGAAATGGAAGACAAGGGAAAGACTCAAATACAGCAAATAAACCAAGATGGAGTCCAAGAAGGGCAACAAAAATGATTAGGGGTCTGGAACACATGAGTTATGAGGAGAGGCTGAGGGAGCTGGGATTGTTTAGCCTGCAGAAGAGAAGAATGAGGGGGGATTTGATAGCTGCTTTCAACTACCTGAAAGGGGGTTCCAAAGAGGATGGCTCTAGACTGTTCTCAATGGTATCAGATGACAGAACGAGGAGTAATGGTCTCAAGCTGCAGTGGGGGAGGTTTAGATTGGATATTAGGAAAAACTTTTTCACTAAGAGGGTGGTGAAACACTGGAATGCGTTACCTAGGGAGGTGGTAGAATCTCCTTCCTTAGAGGTTTTTAAGGTCAGGCTTGACAAAGCCCTGGCTGGGATGATTTAACTGGGAATTGGTCCTGCTTCGAGCAGGGGGTTGGACTAGATGACCTTCTGGGGTCCCTTCCAACCCTTATATTCTATGATTCTATGATTCCTATGTGACAGGAAGCCAGGGCCATTTGAGACCGTTTCATTTTTATCTAAAATTTCTGTGCAATAAGGTCTTATACCAACAGCTAATAGAGACAACCCAGGCAGGTATTATTTGGCAGCCTCTGTACTCGAATTAAATGTTTCCTCTCAATGTCTGTACAGTGCTTTGAACCATAAAGCACTGCCAAGTGCTCAGTGTTATTTCCTTGTATTTTCACCTGCACACCTTTTTCTCCCTCTCTATATCCCAGCCAATTCAGTGCAATTCAAAAAATCATAATTGGTGTGAGGAACTATGCAGTCATTGCCATAGGTTAGAGTAGGGTAATGCCCAGGGTCTCTTGCAGTGCATTGATTGCCTACTCGGCATAGGGTTATGTAGCTGAATCTATGTTTGGTTCATATTGACTGCATCTGACTAAGTGACAGATTAGGACAGAGCAGAATACAGGCTGTCATTTCTTTCCTTTGGCCAGGCACATTTGCCATCTATGACCCTTACCCATCCCACAGGCTGGAGCCCCTCAACTCCTGTGTTCAAGATCTTTCTTAGCATGCCAAGTTACACAGGTCTTGCCCAAGTTAAACCATAGGAACCCTGAGTGTCCCACTCATCGGAGTCTAACCCGTATCGCTCTAGGACAGAGATTCACAGTCCTTTAGCCCTATCTGGCATTGTTGTCCAGACCTGCTTCAGGGATGGGATACTACATAGTATGAGGCCGTCTCTTTCCTTTCTCCCAGTGCTGTTAACTCTATATTCGAGTTTGTTGTTTCTAAGCTTAGTGGGCATCTGCCTAGTTTGTGTATTTCACGGGGAGCGAGGTATGCGCAAGGAAGACGCTTCTGTGCAGGGCTCTACAGAGCAGTTCCTCCGCTTGCGATTTCCCGAGGGCAGTGTGTTGTCCCTCGCCACCCCTCCCCTGGCCCGCTGCGTGGCAGGGGCTATTTTCTGAAGTCGGCGATCGCTTACCCGACCTGCTTGTCCCCGACCGTACATAGACATAGACACGGCCTGTGCTGCACCCCCGGGGGAGGGGATCCCAAGGGGCACGGGGAGGGGAGGAAGAGACGATGGGGCAGTCGTGGGTAGAGGGCTGTCGCAGGGCTGATGGAGGGGAACAGGGGGCCCCATGGGCCAGCTGGAGGTCTGGGGCAGCCTGAGGGGGATCTGGGGATGGGTGACCCCCATAAGCCCCGAGGCAGCCTGAGGGAGAGGGAGAGGAACCCCCCCTTTCTGCGCTCCCTGGAAAGCGGGCCCCAAGCAGCCGCCCTGCCCCGGCGGGGCCCCCGGCGAAGGCGGGGTGTCAGGCGCAGGGGCACAGGCAGCCCGTGCCCCCCGAGACCCCGTGCCCCCCGAGACCCCGTCCCCGCACTCACCTGGCTCGTACGCGAGGCAGAGGATGGAGACGATGAAGTAGCCCAGGTCGAAGAGCGGGAAGACCGGCACCCGGGCGAAGGCGGCCGCCAGCTCCCCGAGCTGCAGGGCCCCCGCTAGCTCCATGGCCGCAGCCTCCGCCCACCCGGGCACAGAGCGCGGCTGCGGAGCCGGGCAGCGCTCGGAGCCCAGGGCCCTGGAGCGCCGACCCACCGCCGGGCTCTGCCTCGGCTCGGAGCCGCCCACCCCAGTCGGGCCGCCCCCGGGCCCGCCTCCTCCGCTGCCCTGTCCAGCCGCCGCACTCCCGGCTGCAGGGCCAGCGCCTCCCGCCCCGGGCACAGACCCCCCCCCCGGCCAGCGCCTCCCGCCCCGGGCACAGACCTGGGCACAGACCCCCCCCCCGGCCAGCGCCTCCCGCCCCGGGCACAGACCTGGGCACAGACCCACCCCGGCCAGCGCCTCCCGCCCCGGGCACAGACCCCCCCCCGGCCAGCGCCTCCCGCCCCGGGCACAGACCTGGGCACAGACCCCCCCCCCGGCCAGCGCCTCCCGCCCCGGGCACAGACCTGGGCACAGACCCACCCCGGCCAGCGCCTCCCGCCCCGGGCACAGACCCCCCCGGCCAGCGCCTCCCGCCCCGGGCACAGACCTGGGCACAGACCCCCCCCCGGCCAGCGCCTCCCGCCCCGGGCACAGACCTGGGCACAGACCCCCCCCCGGCCAGCGCCTCCCGCCCCGGGCACAGACCTGGGCACAGACCCACCCCGGCCAGCGCCTCCCCCCCGCACAGACCCCCCGCCACGCCTCCCCCCCCGCACAACCTGGGCACAGACCCCCCCGCCACGCCTCCCGCCCCGCACAGACCCCCCCCAGCGCCTCCCCCCCGGCACAACCTGGGCACAGACCCCCCCCAGCGCCTCCCCCCCGCACAGACCCCCCGCCAGCGCCTCCCCCCCGCACACCTGGGCACAGACCCCCCCCAGCGCCTCCCGCCCCGGGCACAGACACCCCCGGCCAGCGCCTCCCGCCCCGGGCACAGACCTGGGCACAGACCCCCCCAGCCAGCGCCTCCCGCCCCGGGCACAGACCCCCCCGGCCAGCGCCTCCCGCCCCGGGCACAGACCTGGGCACAGACCCCCCCGGCCAGCGCCTCCCGCCCTGGGCACAGACCCCCCCCCGGCCAGCGCCTCCGGCCCCGGGCACAGACCTGGGCACAGACCCCCCCCCGGCCAGCGCCTCCCGCCCCGGGCACAGACCCCCCCCCCGGCCAGCGCCTCCCGCCCCGGGCACAGACCTGGGCACAGACCCCCCCCGGCCAGCGCCTCCCGCCCCGGGCACAGACCTGGGCACAGACCCACCCTGGCCAGCGCCTCCCGCCCCGGGCACAGACCCCCCCGGCCAGCGCCTCCCGCCCCGGGCACAGACCTGGGCACAGACCCCCCCCGGCCAGCACCTCCCGCCCCGGGCACAGACCCCCCCCGGCCAGCGCCTCCCGCCCCGGGCACAGACCTGGGCACAGACCCCCCCACCCGGCCAGCGCCTCCCGCCCCGGGCACAGACCTGGGCACAGACCCACCCCGGCCAGCGCCTCCCGCCCCGGGCACAGACCCCCCCGGCCAGCGCCTCCCGCCCCGGGCACAGACCTGGGCACAGACCCCCCCGGCCAGCGCCTCCTGCCCCGGGCACAGACCTGGGCACAGACCCACCCCGGCCAGCGCCTCCCGCCCCGGGCACAGACCCCCCCCCCCCGGCCAGCGCCTCCCGCCCCGGGCACAGACCTGGGCACAGACCCCCCCGGCCAGAGCCTCCCACCCAGGGCACAGACCCCCCCCGGCCAGCGCCTCCCGCCCCGGGCACAGACCCCCCCCCGGCCAGCGCCTCCCGCCCCGGGCACAGACCTGGGCACAGACCCCCCCCGGCCAGCGCCTCCCGCCCCGGGCACAGACCCCCCCCGGCCAGCGCCTCCCGCCCCGGGCACAGACCTGGGCACAGAGCCACCCCGGCCAGCGCCTCCCGCCCCGGGCACAGACCCCCCCCCCCGGCCAGCGCCTCCCGCCCCGGGCACAGACCTGGGCACAGGCCCCCCCCCGGCCAGCACCTCCCGCCCCGGGCACAGACCCCCCCGGCCAGCGCCTCCCGCCCCGGGCACAGACCTGGGCACAGACCCCCCCACCCGGCCAGCGCCTCCCGCCCCGGGCACAGACCTGGGCACAGACCCCCCCCCCGGCCAGCGCCTCCCCCGCCCCGGGCACAGACCTGGGCACAGACCCACCCCGGCCAGCGCCTCCCGCCCCGGGCACAGACCCCCCCCCGGCCAGCACCTCCCGCCCCGGGCACAGACACCCCCCCCGGCCAGCGCCTCCCGCCCCCGGGCACAGACCCCCCCGGCCAGCGCCTCCCGCTCCCGGGCACAGACCTGGGCACAGACCCCCCCGGCCAGCGCCTCCCGCCCCCGGGCACAGACCCCCCCCGGCCAGAGTCTCCCGCCCCGGGCACAGACCTGGGCACAGACCCCCCCGGCCAGCGCCTCCCGCCCCCGGGCACAGACCTGGGCACAAAACCCCCCGGCCAGCGCCTCCCACCCCGGGCACAGACCTGGGCACAGACCGTCCCCCCCGGCCAGCGCCTCCCGCCCCGGGCACAGACCTGGGCACAGACCCCCCCCGGCCAGCGCCTCCCGCCCCCGGGCACAGACCCCCCCCCGGCCAGCGCCTCCCGCCCCTGGGCACAGACCCGGGCACAGACCCCCCCCCGGCCAGCGCCTCCCGCCCCCGGGCACAGACCTGGGCACAGACCCCCCCCGGCCAGCGCCTCCCGCCCCCGGGCACAGACCCCCCCCGGCCAGCGCCTCCCGCTCCCGGGCACAGACCTGGGCAAGACCCCCCCCACGCCTCCTCCCGGGCACAGGCCTGGGCACAGACCCCCCCGGCCACCGCCTCCCGCCACGGGCACAGACCCCCCCCCCGGCCAGCGCCTCCCGCCCCCGGGCACAGACCTGGGCACAAAACCCCCCGGCCAGCGCCTCCCACCCCGGGCACAGACCTGGGCACAGACCGTCCCCCCGGCCAGCGCCTCCCGCCCCCGGGCACAGACCCGGGCACAGACCCCCCCGGCCAGCGCCTCCCTCCCCCGGGCACAGACCTGGGCACAGACCCCCCGGCCAGCGCCTCGTGCCCCTGGGCACAGACCTGGGCACAGACCTCTCCGGCCAGCTCCTCTTGTACCCCTGGGCACAGACCCTTCCCAGGGTACACTCCCCCATCTCTGGCCACAGACCCCCCAGCCAGCTCCTCTTGTACCTCTGGCACAGACCCTCCCCCCTCTCCTCCCGACTGCCATCCCATCTACGGGCGCAGACCCCCATTCCCAGGCACAGACAACCCCCCAGTCAGCTCCTCTCATATCCCTGGTATGGACACCCATTCTTGGGCACAGAGCCCTGCCCTGTCCCTGGGCACAGAACCTGCCGTCCGCGCCTCTCCTCGCCTGGGCACAGACACCCACCCTGGCCAGATCCTCTCGTATCCCTAGCACAGACCCCATCTATGGGGGCACAGAGCTCCCCTGGGCACAGACCTCTGCCCTGTTCCTGGGCACAGAATCTGCTGCCCAGCTCCTTTCCTACCCTGGGCACAGACTCTCCCCAGGGTACACACACACCTCAACCGCCTCCCCCATCTCTGGGCACAGACCCTCTCGACCAGCTCCATGTCCCCCAGGCACAGACACCTCCATCCCTGGGCACAGACCCCCCTGGCCAATTCCTCTTGTACCCCAGGCACATTCCACCCCCGAGGTACAGACACTCTCTCCCCACCCCACGACTGCCCTCCCATCTCCAGGCACAGACAACCCCATTCCCAGGCACAGACCCTCCCCCCCTACCCCGGCTAGTGCCTCATCCCCCCAGCATTGATCCCTCTCCTGAACAAATTCTCCACCTCCAGTGATCAGACCACCCCCCACCCCGCCCCCAGCCCCCGGCTGACTTCCCTGCCCCTGGGGCACAGAACTCTCCGCCCTGCCTTCCGTTCACCTGTCCGGGCAGCCCCACCCTTCTGCCCTCCCAACTGTGTGTCAGGGACCCATACAGATGAATTCCTGTTTCTGTGGGTGGAGATAGATGGAGCTCATTTAGCTGCTGGGAAACATCTCCCACCTCATCGAGCACTACCCATTACATAAGAACATAAAAACAGCCATACTGGGTAAGACCAAAGGTCCATCTAGCCCAGTAGCCTGTCTTCCGACAGTGGCCAATGCCAGGTGCCCCAGAGGGAATGAACAGAACAGGAAATCATCAAGTGATCCATCCCCTGTCGCTCATTCCTAGCTTCTGGCAAACAGAGGCTAGAAACACCATCCCTGCCCATCCTGGCTAATAGCCATTGATGGACCAACCTATCCTTTATGAATGTATCTAGTTCTTTTTTGAACCCTGTTATAGTCTTGGCCTTCACAACATCTTCTGGCAAAGAGTTCCACAGGTTGACTGTGCATTGTGTGAAGAAATACTCCATCCCATTGGACACTCCCGATCTCATCCCAAGGCTACTGTTCCCCTTCCCACTGGGCCCTGTCCACTGTATCCTAGGCCTGCTGCTCCTATCCGATCAGACACTCCCATCTCATTTTACCAGGCTCTTCCCCATCCTATTCCAGTGCTGCTACTCCCCATGCAGCCCATCTCTGATGCTGCCCCTAAGTGTGATTCATGCAAATGACGTTTCTGCTGCTGCTGAGTTATGCAAAGTGGCAACCATGGGCATCAAGTATCAGGGGGATAGCCATGTTAGTCTGTATCCACAAAAACAACAAGGAGTCTGGTGGCACCTTAAAGACTAATGGTGTTAAATTTGCAAATTAATTTTAGTTCTGCTGTTTCTCTTTGAAGTCTGTTTCTGAAGTTTTTTTGTTCAAGTATAGCTACTTTTAAATCTGTTATAGAATGTCCAGGAAGATTGAAGTGTTCTCCTACTGGCTTTTATATGTTACCATTCCTGATGTCCAATTTGTGTCCATTTATTCTTTTACGTATGGACTGCCTGGTTTGGCCAATATACATGGCAGAGGGGCATTACTGGCACATGATGACATATATAACATTAGTAGACACGCAGGTGAATGAGCCTCTGATGGTGTGGCTGATGTGATTGGGTCCTCTGATGGTGTCGCTAGAGTACGTAAGGGGACAGAGTAGGCAATGAGGTTTGCTACAGGGATTGGTTCCTGGGTTAGTGTTTCTGTGGTGTGGTGTGTAATTGCTGGTGAGTATTTGCTTCAGGTTGGGGGGCTGTCTGTAAGCAAGGACTGGCCTGCCTCCCAAGCTCTGTGAGAGTGAGGGATCATTTTCCAGGATAGGTTGTAGATCGTTGGTAATGTGCTGGAGAACAGAAGAACTAAAATTCATTTGCAAATTTAACACAATTAATTTGGGCTTGAATAGGGACTGGGATTGGCTGGCTCATTACAAAAGCAGCTTTGCCTCTCCTGGAATTGACACCTCCTCATCTATGATTGGGAGTGGACTACATCCACCGTGATCGAATTGGCCCTGTCAACACTGGTTCTCACTTGTGAGGTAACTCCCTTCTGTTCATGTGTCATTATATAATGCCTGCATCTGTAATTTTCACTCCATGCATCTGAAGAAATGGTGTTTTACCCAGGAAAGTTTATACCCAAATAAATCTGTTAGTCTTTAAGGTGCCACCAGACTCCTTAACCGTGGGTATAGCTCCTTCACTGCAGGATTTGCCTTTGAATGTGTATCAAAAGCTTCAATGTGTGTCTAAAAGGGGAAGTGCTCTGCTTGTGGCTGCAACGGCAAAGTGAAGTCTGTACTGGGCTATTGAGAAAAGGTTTCTTAGGGACAGCAGATTCAGAAAGAGCCAGAAATAGGGAGGTCTAGCCCCACCTGTAATAACTGTGTTGGGCCCTGCATCCAGCTACTTCCCCAAGAGCAGCGGGAAGAGGATTAAAAATAAGGGGGATTTTAGAAGACCATCCACCTCATCCCAGATAAACAATTAAAAATGAATGGCTAAAATCAGTAAACTACTGAAGCTAGGCTCTGTGGTTTCCCAGCCTAATCTATTGTGTATTATACATGTACTCAGTGCGAGAAGATACTAGTGCCTTGCACAGAACCCACGTTCCTGATCAACAAGCTGTTCTCTCATTAAAGCTCCTAGTTACATAATTCAGTTGGGCTCTGCACTTTCTCCTGACAGAAAGCCTTCCTCACACTTCCTGACACACAAGGTCAAATGGAGGCATCCTAAGGAGAGTGAATCTACCGTCAACATTCATATTTAACATTTGAATATAGCATCCTATATGCACAGGGCACTGTATATTTAACATGTATATCTAAAACCCTAGGTGTATATATATAGCCCTGCATATTTTAAACCTACTTATATAGCTCTGTTCCTGCGAAGGTGCTTAAGCACAAGCTTAATTTTAAATAGTCCTATTAATGTAATTTTGAGTAGTCCCATTAAACTTAATACGACTATACATTTAAGCAGGTGGGTAAGTCTTTGCTGGATAGGGCCTATGACATTTAACTAAGGTTACAAGACAGAAATATTTTCATGTACTTATTCAACGTAAAAGAAAAAGAATCTTTCTCTTTGAGAACATCAGCACTGTACTGTAACATCAAGAATCATCAAAGGACACATAGACATAAGGAAGAAGATGAGCTTTCATTTTTTGTGTTTCAAATAAGAGTCCAGAGTCGGTTTTGTATAGTATAAGTGACTTGGTGAAAAAGTTTGTTTCTAAATCCTCCAATTTCTAAGAGGATTAAAATGTTATCTGTTCTATTGCTGAGGGGGTCTGTGATACTATTAACTATGTTGTATGTGTCTGTAGCACTTTCCACTTGAGCAGATTACGGTGAATTAAGACTCTCAACACCCCTGGCAAATAAATATTAACTAGGGCTGTCCATTAACCACAGTTAACTCATGCGATTAACTCAAAAAAATTAATTGTGATTAAAAAATTAATCGCAATTAATCGCAATTTTAATTGCACGTTAAACAATATTCGTGGGTATTCACCCACAAAAGCTTATGCTCCAATACGTCTGTTAGTCTATAAAGTGCCACAGAGTGTTTTGCCGCTGTTAAACAATAGAATACCAATTGAAATTTATTAAATATTTTTGGATGTTTTTCTACATTTTCAAATATATTGATTTCAATTACAACACAGAATACAAAGTGTACAGTCCTCACTTTATGTTATTATTTTTTATTACAAATATTTGCACTGTAAAAATGATAAACAAAAGAAATAGTATTTTTCAGTTCACCTCATAAAAGTACTGTAGTGCAATCTCTTTATCATGAATGTTGAACTTACAAATGTAGAATTATGTACAAAAAATAACTGCATT